GACCTGCGGCCTCCAGGACTGGGAGACAGAACATGTCTGTGGTCTCANGTTTTTTTAAATTACCCAAATAGCAATATATAAATTACAAATGACAAAATGTGATACAAGCTTCTCGAATCAGTAAACTAGTACAGGTCTGAGAAAGAGGTGTGAGAAACATAATTATACTTTGTTATATTTATTTTCGTGCTTCTCCAGTGCAAAGAATGTTTCATCAAATGCACATTTTCTGTTGCTCTAAGAAGAAGCTGCTGTTTCACAGATGAACCTCTGAGTAACTAATTGATTCAAATAGTTTTGTGTGTTTTTTGTGTTGACCTATTATTGCTGCTGTTGGCAGCTGTTTTCACCAGGAGCTTGACAGAGCAGATCTCATAGGTTGTTCATTCAAGGGCTAAATTTATATCCTTTGGAAATCATGGCAACTGCGCAGAATGTTGCTTTCTGGGATGGAGTTTGTATTCAGCACTGAGGTTACTGGGATGGAGTTTGTATTCAGCACTGAGGTTACTGGGATGGAGTTTGTATTCAGCACTTACGTTTACATGTTGTAAAAGATGAAGGAAGGAACCGTTAAAGTGGACAGGTGTCCAAAGGTCACTGTTTGTGACTCTTCAAAATGACAAAGGATTTGTAAACTTTGCCTGGAGTCCTCTCGTTTTATAACAGTCTCGTCTGTCGCGATGATTTCGTCTTCTGCTCCGTATTGTTTTAATCCCGTAAGCATTTGCTGAAACGCTCTTTGATGCTATTTGGATTTTCTTAAAAGATGTGACAGTTGTCAAAAATGCACTAAAATATAAATGGAGATTGAGTATGTTCACTTTCCAGCTTATAGGCAACTTTATATAGACTTGAACACCTTCTCCAGTTTAGTAAAAGTGAAAGAAAGTGTTTTTCCTGCCACAGGATATAACTTTTTTTATACAAACAAGCATAACTTACAGCACTGCTTTTGGTGGAAAAGTGCAGAACAGTATGTACCTTTTATGAAGAAAAGTGTCATTTACAATATTCCGTGCGAATGTTACTGCTGACTTTCTTTTCCAGAGTGTAGAATATTCTTTGATTTATAGAAATTCATTTTTGACCCAGATGATGGTTCTTTTGCAGACCAATAAAATGGCTGAACATTTGCACAAGTAAATTGTAACTAAATCTGGGTTTCTGATACCTTGTCATTTGGGGATTTTCTTTTACTTTATTGCTTTAAAATTCAATGCCGAGAAATTATTAACTGTAGGGGAAATAAAGTTAATTCAAATTTTGGAGGAAAAAAAAAAAGTAACAGTAATGGCCCTGGCTGGTGTGACTCAGTGGTTAGGGCGTCGGCCCTTGCACTGCAGGGTCCTGGGTTCGATTCCGGCCAAGGGCACGTACCTTAGTTGCAGGTTCGATCCCCGGCCCCGTCGGGGCGAGCGCAGGAGGCAACCAATGGACGTGTCGCCCTCGCGTCCGTGTTTCTCTCCCATCGTGTTTCTCCCCCGCCCCCCGCGCTCTGAAAAGCGATGAAGGAAGGTCCCCGGGGGAGGGTGAGAAAGTGACGACCGTAGATGAACAGATGCCGGTGAGACCCGGGCCAGCGGGGCCCGCGCC